GGAGGATTTTTTGTCTTTGGTTTTATTGTTTTTGTTACCTCTATTAAGCCTATTAAAATAGTGGCAGCTAAATTCCCCTTTGAGACCTTTGGCTCATAGATATATATTAAAAAAGGGAAAAACGGGAGCGGTAACACAATGGCAAGTCGATTCTCAGACACTTTTTCTTCTTTTTCAAGTTTATTCGTTTAAGATAATGTTTAAATAATTTTACTCTTGATTTTCTGATATACTTATTAGTTTAAACAAGCAGAGTCATCTGCGCTACAAACTCTTATCCAATTCGTAGCAGGTCCAGTAGGTGTTGGCTGAAGGCATTTGCTGGTGGGATCAAAATTGATTCTCAATGGTAGGTAAGAGGCACCCACAAGGCCTTTCCTGGTAAAAACAAATCGATTCATGATTTTTGATGCTCAGTCAATTGGTCAGTCAGTTGGACAGTCGATATATGTGATTATAATATATTAGGAGTAACTGGATAACTTGAGGCTTCCTAAAGTTAAAAGAAACTGGGGAAAACAAAGGTTTGAATATCAGGCCAGTAGAGAATAGAATGATCTAAGTCAAGAATTAAGGAAGTCTAGTAGTGTTCCGGCTACAAGTCTTCAAACTCAATGTTTTTCGTTAGCTTCACAAATTCATATATTCTTCGTGCAATATATTTTACATATTTTAGCTTTTTATACATTAGCCTTATTTATATTGTACTCTTTAAGTTTTATTGGAGCATTTTAATTCAATTATATGTGCAATTAGGATTATTATTATTATTAGCATTATTATTATTATTATTATTATTATTATTATTGTTGTTGTTGTTGTTGTTGTTGTCGTTATGTCGGTCAGTCATTGGTTCGGTCTGTCGGTCTGTCGTTCTCTCGGTCCGCGGTCTTTTGGTCATTAAGTCAGTCAATCAGTCAGTCAGTCATACAGTCGGTTGTTCAATCTGTTAGTTTTCGTGATTAATTAGTATATTGTTATTGTAATTAAAACGTACTTATCGATTTGAACGCGCATGATTCGCGAGTGTGTCGTTGGGTCAGCTAGACCTTCAGGACTTGCCATGTACGTTTCAAATTCCTTGACAGTTTCCTCGGATGGCTCGCGGTTGCAATAAAATAGCTGACACAAAATAAGAACGATAATAATGGTATTATTATATATACACTCAATTGAAGAATCGTTAAGAAACATAGAACATAGAAGCTGAGACCGAAATGGCACAAGCGAAATGATAAAATTGTATTATAATTTATTCGCATTTGCGCCATCCATGCAGTCAGTTTAGAATGCCAAACGCGTATCAAAAACAGTGGATGATGCCACGGGTCGCCGGTCACAGCATGTATCTAATTAACTTACTTCCCATGTGCCATTTCGGTCTCAGCTTCTATGTTTTTTGTTTCTGAACCCGACATCGATTCTTCAATTGAGTGTATATAGAAATACGGAAGCACCATGACTATAGAGTAACCCTAGCAGTAGTGGTCTCCTCTCCTTTTGAAAAGACATCTCTTTTTAAATCACCAACCAGAAATTCATTGGTACTCCATTAAAGCAAAGTGGCAAATCCTATGGGTAAAATGGTTAGCGCATTAGCTCCACAATGGAGCCAGCAATGTTTATGAACATTAAATCCACCTATACCTTATTCTTGTTTTTAGGTGCAAATAGGGCGTTTCCAAGGCTATAGGCGATCAATTGTGTTCCATTGGTGGTGTGACCTTCAAGCACGTGTGGATGGGCACCTATGATTATCTGTACGCCAAGAGACTGTAAATGACTGGCTTCTTTCTTTTGGCGATCTGATGGATCTGTGAAATACTCGATTCCCCAGTGCATAAAAACAACTATGACATCTACTTTTCCCTGTTAGAAA